TGTCCTGTGTCCTCTAGTCTCTATTTTAGGAAGAATTTTGTTTGTCATATTTTCAAAGCTCTATGTGTTTTTGGGAGCAGATTTCCACTGCTCTACTCATGCCGCCATCTTGGCTCCGCCCCTGTTAGGTTTTTTTATGTTGAGATTATTGCTTTTCTGCTATGAGAATTGCAAAGCATTTTAAACACATTCTCACTGGCATCCTTTCCATAAAATAGTTGTAGGATTTAGACAGAAAATTAATTTTAAAAACAAATGAATTCTAGTCCCTCAAAAAATTAAAAATAGAATTACCATATGATCCAGCAATCTCACTTCTGATATACACAAAAGTGAAAGGAGGACCTCAGAGAAATATTTGCACATCATGTTCACAGTAGCCAAGAAGGGAAAGCAACCCAAGTGTCCAGTGATGGATAAATAGGTAAACAAAATATGGTCTGTCTGTACAATGGAATATTCAGACTTCAAAAGAAAGAAAATTCTGACACATTCTACAACATGAATGAACCTTAAGGACATTATGCTAAAGAAATAAGGTAGTCACAAAAGCACAAATACTCTATGATTCTACTTATGTGAGACATCTAAAGTAATCAAATTCCTCGAGACAGAGAGTAGGATGGTATTACCAGGGGTTGGAGGGAAGAGGGAATGGAGGGGTTGTTGAACAAGTATAAAGTTTCAGTTTTGCAAGATAAAAAAGTTCTGGAGATTGGTTGCACAGCAATGTCAATGTATTTAACGGCACAAAACTGTACACTTAATGGTTAGGATGGTAAACTTTGTGTTATGGGTATTTTACCACAATTAAACTTGAAAAAATAATTAAATGATATGTAATATTTGTATTTTATTATGTTTATTGTATTGTTATTTTTACTTTTAAATATTTTATATTTATTATTTATATCATTATTAATTATTATAATAGTTAAGTTAAAAATTTTAAACACCAAGCAAATTCTGGTGTTATATATACACATGATGGAATAATATTCAACCCACAAAAAGGAATGGTGTTCTGATGCATGCTGCAATGTGGATGAACCGTGAAACCCTGTGCTTAGTGAAAGAAGCCAGACACAAAAGGCCACACACTTTATGACTCTGTTTATGTGAAATATCCAGAAGAGGTAAATCCATAAACACAAGGCAGGTCTGTGGATTTATCCATCAGGAGGGGAGGAGGGAATGGGGCAACAACTGCTTAAAGGGTATAGGGTTTTATTTTGAGGTGATGAATGTTCAGGAACTGGACAAAGGTGATGGCTGTACACACAACATTGTGAATGTGCTAAATGCCACTGCACTATTCACTTTTAAATGGTTCCTTTTATGTTATGTGAATCTCACTTCAGTTAAAAAAAGCAAATTCTAGAAGTTACCTGCAAATGTGTTTGTAGGCTCAGAGGTTGTTTGCGGGATTACTCCCCAAGCAGCACATATTTTTAGAGATGGGAAACAGAAATGGACAGATTAATGGGTATAGACACCTGTGTTTCTTTTCTCAGCAACCATTTCTCTTTCAATTAATAGCACTGCACTTTCCTTTGGGGAACCACCCCTCTGTCACTCTCAGTTCATGTGGTTTTGGTGTAACTCTGGGGATGGTAGTGTGACCTGAAGCTGGCAATCAAAGCTTTGCAACCCTCTGGCCTTGTCATTGGTTCAGGGATGCCCAGGTGAACCAAGCCCAGCCAGTGAGACTCAGTTCTGGCACCTTGATTGAAACCGCTGGAAAGAGGGGATTTTGCTCCAGCCAGTACTGCTGAGGAGACAAGATGTCAGCCTGGAGCTGCTGGAAGTCATCTTGCCACCAGGAAAAAAGAGGCTGTCTGAAAGAGAGAGAGAGAGAGAAACATCATGACATGATGACATTGACACTGACCTCTGGATGGAGCCAAGCATGAAGCAAGACTGCCCTTGGACTTTTCAGATACATGAGCCAGCAAATTCCATTTGGGACCTGTGCCTATTTGAGTTGGATATTCTTCACTTGAAACAGAAAGAATCCTTAGTTAATGCAGATGATCTGCTCACTAAAAAGGAGCTAGAAATAGAAACCTGGTCCCCCAAATCATGCTAAACTCAGTGAAGCCTCATTCATTGTCTTTAGTCCTGTCAGATTAGTGATTATTCAAACCAGAATCTTTACCATCTTCATGGAAAATGGCTTGCTGTGTGGCCTAAACAAGACAAGCTGCAGAATGCCTGCCGTGCCCACAGTCCCCAAGAAGCCCACATGAGTCCACCTCCCAACCCACCTGATAACCAGTCCACAGGCTTGTCAAAGCACCTATGAAACGGCCTGGCTCAACAGGCTGACCTTGATCAATCAGATTCGACCTCTTGAATCTACACTGGGATGTAAGGAGCAGCAGGCAGGCGTAAATGATAGGAGCTAACGGAGAAAGAACATGTGCAGAGGGTGCAAAGGGGCCTTTAAGAGTCTTGTGCAGGCTGAAAATTGGAAGCAGCAGGGAGTATGGGTTAAAGAGTATATAGAATAGAGGAGAAATGGCCAATTGGCTGTGGGAAAACAGAGCATATTCACACAGAGAAACAGGCACCTGGAGAGACTGGCAGTCTCGGACCTCCGGAACCTACCCATTTCTCGACAGGGCTGCAGATGGGTGCCAGCCCACCAATGTCCTTTCAGCAAACTCCTTGTTCTTAAGATGCCCTCAGCACATCTCTGCCTAATGAAATACAAAGAATCTGGCCAAATTATTTTTAGGTTAATCAGGACTCTCTCAGTTGCAAGTGACTAAAATTCAATGCAAACCAGAACCTTAAAGAAGAAAAGTAATTAGTTTGAGTCCTGGGAGGTCAATGGGTTGTTGGCTTCAGAAGTGTCTGGACCCAGGGTCTTGAATGATGCCATAAGCATCTGCCCCCTCTCCTGGCTTTGCTTGCCTCTGGGCTGGTTTCAGTCTGAAGTAGATTTTCCCTTTATTTTCCAGATAGCCATTGTGGTTGGCAGCTTCTAAGAAGACCCCAGTGATCCCCACCTCCTGGTATTCATGATTCATGGCCTTGTGTAATTCCTTACCCTTGAGTAACCCACTTCTAACCAATAAAATATGGCAATGTTAATGGAATGTGACTTCTGTGGTTAGGTTACATAAGACTGTGACTTACGTCTTGCTAGCATGCATTCTCTATTGCCTTCTCAGCTTTCAGGCTTTCATTAAACAAGTTGCCATGTGGAAAAGCTCAGATGGCAAGGAACTAAAGGCAGCTTCTGGCTAACAGCCAGTGAGGATCTGAGGTCCTCGGTCCAATATCCTGCAAGGATCTGAATCCTACCAACAATCTCTAGGTGAGGCTGGAAACAGATTGTTCCCCGGTCAAACTTACAGATGAGTTGTCCAGCTCCTGGTTAAAAACCCATTGTGATTTCTCAGGCCTGGCCATAGGCAATTACAAAGGCTTTAGCTGGCAGGCCTCACAGGGGAAAGATGCCCTCCCTGAACCAGACCTGGTACGCAGCCAGCATGTCGCAATCTGATGGAAGTCTCAACCAAGGACTCAGAGCTCTCTGGCCAGTCGTGTTCTTATGCACAGTTGTATTCCTAGCCGTGGCTCCTCCGTTCCTAGGTCTCTCTATCTGAGGCCTTGGGCAGAGGTCCTCTCCAGATGCCTGTGCCAAGTCTGCTTATGGGAGGAGAACAGGACCTTGAAGACACTTTCCCCCTCTGACTCAGTACCTAGTACATTTCCCCCGAGTCCTCCTTCATCCTCTGCAACCTACCCCACCACCAAGCCCCAGGGTCTATAAAGCTGCTGAAGTCTTTTGTTTGGGGTTCCCTCAACAATGAGATGACTCCATAATGGGGAATCCCATGGGGAAAGTGCAACAGAGAGAGTAGGTACTTTCTACAAGTTTAGCCTTTTGTACCATTGCAGTAAGTGAGTAAAGGCTTGACTCTTTCATCTTTGGCTTGTTGCTTTAGTCAGCTCCTCGGACACCTGACAGGTCAGCACTCTCTCCCAGCTTGACTGCATTAACAGTGAGACCCCAGCCTTGGCTGGCACTTTGATTGCAGTTTCTTGAGACACCCTGAGGCAGAGTAGGTTAATAAATGGATATTGTTCTACACCACAAAGTTTGTGGTGATCTGTTATGGAGCAATAGATAACCAATAATAGCCACCAATCAGGCCTGCATTTGTTCAGGTTAGAACCCAGCAGAGAGGCTTCTATTTCCCAACACCTCCAGCAAAATATAGGGACTGCTTCTCACTAATCCAGACTGGGTTGTCTGCCAGTTGACTCAGTTCTGGCCATGCCTGGGTCCTCATCCATCCCCATAGCTCCAGACCAATCATGTTTTCTTAGGATAGGAGAAAGGCAGCTCTCAAAGGAAAATCAATGTGCTGATATCAGAAAGAAGACAAATAGAGGCAGGAAGAGCAAAAGTAAGTGTCCTCTACAAGCAGCAGATGAGTGATGCAGAGATCCTTCACCAGCTCAGCAGAGCAACGTGTAAGCACTGTGTCGGAAAGTGTCTCGACGAACGCATAGCTAATACTAACTGCATGCGATATTGGTCACTTTATTAATAGACTTCATCTTTACTTACCAAAATTTTGTGAGCTTACTGGAATTTCTTGGCATGATTATGGGGAAAGTGGGCTTTGAAGTCATTCACTTTTAAATTTAAAATATCTAGCATTGGCAAGGATAGAGGGAAATGCTCAGCTCACACACTATTGAAAGAAGTAAACAGTAACATAGTGTTTTTGGAGGGCAGTTTGGCAGGATGTATCAAACTTTCAAACATGCATGCTTTCTTCCCCAGTAACGCCTCTTCTGAGAATTTGTCCTCCAGGAAATCTCATGAGGTTCATGAAGCACTGATGTTCACTGCTTTATAGTTTGTGATAGTGAAAAAGAGAAAACAATTTAAATGCCCATTAAACAGGGGAGTAAATGGACTATAATGAATCCACAGTATGGAATACTGGGCAGTCTTTAAAATGCATAAGATAAACTTAAATGTAATGACATGCAGAGAACCTCAAAATATGTTAAGTGAAAAAGAGAGTGATGTCAATGAAAATGGTAGGGTAAGGACCTCAAAAATTTAATGTGTTGAAAATGTGTCCCAACTTGTACTCAGAACCCCTCAGCAAAGACTGGGAGACTTACTGGTTCAGGGGATTATGGAAATCTGTTTAATCATTAGCTGACCACTGAGTAGAGACTTTAGTGGCCACACATGACAAAGAATACAGTAGAATTAGTTAAGAGAAGTAACCAAACAACTACTACAACAAAGAACAACAAGAGAAAATCCTGGGCATGGTGATAATCTGATTTCCAGAGTTGTTACATATTATTAAAATGTCCAGTTTTCAACAAAATAATTATGAGATATGCAAAGAAACAAGAAAGTATAGTCCAAACACAGGAAAAAAATAATCAATAAAAACTGTCTCTGAGGAAGTCCAGATATTGGACTTACAAGACAAAGACTTTAAATCAGCTATTTTAAATATGTTCAAAGAACTAAAGGAAACTAAGTATGTGAAAAGTTGCTCAACATCACCAACCATTAGAGAAATGCAAATCAAAACCACAAGGAGATGTTACCTCATTTCCGTTAGGATGGCTACTCCAAAAAAAACCCCAGAAAATAACAAGTATTGGTGATGATGTGTAGAAATTAGAATATTTATGCACGGTTAGTGGGATTGTAAAATGGTGCAATTGCTATGAAAAATGTATGGCAGCTCCTCAAAAATCTGAAAATAGTAGAACTACCATGTAAGCCAGTAATCCTACTTCTGGTTTTATATCCAAACAAATCAAAAGCAGGGTTTGTTAACAAGGTATTTGTACTCCCATGTTCATAGCAGCATTATTAATAGTAGCCAACAGGTGGAGGCAACACAAATGTCCATTGATGGATGAATGAGAAAATGTGTTATATACTTACAATGGAATATTATTCAACCTTAAAAAGGAAGTTCGGTCACATGCTACAACATGGATGAACCTTGGGGACATATGCTATGTGAAATATGCCAGTCACAAAGAGACAAATACTGTATGATCCCACTTTTATGAAGTACATAAAGTAGTCAAATTTATAGAAATAATGTAAAATGGTGGTTACCAGAAGCTAAAGGGAGAGAGAAATTGGGAATTGTTCTTTATGAGTGTAAATTCAGTTTTTCAAGATGAAAAAGTTCTAGAGATTGCTTGCACAACAATGTGAATATACTTAATCCTGAACTGTACACTTAAAAGTAGTTAAGATGGTAAATTTTTTGTATGTGTTTTTCACCACAATTTTTAAAAATTTTAAATAAATTTAAAAAATAGGAATGGAGTACTTATATATTCTATAACATGGATAAATCTTAATGTTATGTTAACTGACAGAAGCCAGATACAAAAGCCACATATTGTAGGATTACATTTACATGCAATGTCCAGAATAGGTAAATCCATAGAGACAGAAAGTAGATTAGTGTTTGCCAGGGGCTGGGTGTGTGGTGGGGGAGGGGAGGGGTGGCAGTAATGGGAAGTGACTACAAGGGGTGTGGGTTTCTTTTCGAGGTGACGAAAATGATCTGGAATTAGAAAGTATTGAATATTGCACAACCTAGTAAATATACAAAACCCACTGAATTGTACAGTTTATTTAAAAGGATTTTTTTAAAGAGTTAAGTTACTTAAGAATATATAGTGCACAATCTTATCTATGTTTTTAAAACTTCTATATCTTTATGTGTAGTGTGTAATTCATATGTATGTAAATGCATAACTAGAAGGATAAATAATAAATGGTTAACTGGTTTTCTTTAGGGAGGAATAAAGATTTTCAGATTTGTTATGGGGACTTTCACTTCCCATAAGTGGACTGAATTGTTTTAAATTACACTTTTACAAATTTTCCTTTAAAACAATTAGTATATTTCTTCTTAATTGACTAGCAAAAAAGGGTTTCGAAAGCAGGGAAACCAAAGTAGGCCAAATGATTAGATAGTGATATTGATTATTTGACGTGTAAAGTGCAGAGAAAAATTATAATGTTTATAATCGTAATTGTAAAAATTTATAATTTATAATAAATTATAATCTTATAATGTGTGTAATTATTGTATTTTATTAACATACTTTTATATAGAAATGCCAGTCTGGGCCATTTTGTGTGGGAGACAGGGCCCTCTAGTTCCCACAGATAGTACAACACAGTAGCCAATGCTCACAGTGTTCACATACACAAAAGCTCATTCTTTGAATCATCATGAGAAAATACTGCATTGTGTCCACTGTGCTTGTTCAAAGTAAACTATGTGATACATGTCAGAAGTATCAGAACTTGGATAAGCAGGTGAGTCCTGGCTTCGTCTAAGAGCTGAGACCTTGAACAAGCTGCTTAACAACTCTGGGTGTATTTTCCTCTTCTGGACAGGGATGGTTATTGTTTGAACCAGAAACTCTGAAATTCTTTTGCGTTCCATGCAGTTTGGACCAACCCTTACCTCTTAAACCTTGGCAATGGGGCCCAGTCCATGTAGGGCTTGGAGTGCCACCTGGTGACTCAAGTTTGTAAGTGAGATTTTTCACTTTTTTCTGGGCCCAGCCACCCCAATTACAGTTTTGTAATTGTTCAGAAGTTTACAATCACAGTTTAGATCTGCAGGATTTTTTTCCTAACTCCTTGAAGTTGCTTTTAAAATGTTTTGAATATATGCATTTTTCTAGGAAGTTGGTATGTAGTTTCATCAAAAGGTTCTTAATCCTCTCTTCCCCATTCCAAATTTTTACTACTCTAAGTAAATGTAAATGTGAAGTCCAAAGAGAAAGTGACTCATTTTATAAACATGAGCTTGAGGCTGTGACTTTATATGGGAAGTTATCTCACCTCTCTGAGCCTCATTCTCCTCATTCATAAAATGTAGATAACCATAGTACCCACTTCACAAGTTTACTCCAAGGATGGAAGGAGGAGATATTCCATGGAAAGTGTGCCTGCAAGAGCAAACAGTATATATTATCAGGGACCTTAAAATCTTACAGGAAGACAGCCATCGGCTGGTAAAGCCAGGATACAAGTCGTTACCATGTCTCTACCAGTTTAGCAAGACTGAGTTCTCCTGAACAGGAATGCAAAAACCTTAGAGTTGAATTAAGTCTAAAGACACTGACTGGTCTTTAACAAATGGAACTTTTGCAGGGGTGAGAAAAAGACCTGGAGCAAACAATGACCAGATGCTGGGACCGCAAGAAGTTGGGAATTCCTGGCCATACACCCAAATGAGTTTGACTTAGGTAAAAGGAAAAACAATAGCATAAAATGCTATTTGACTGAATTCCATTCAGGTGCTTTGGCATCCAGAGAGCCCGAACTAAGTAGAGAGACAGGCTTTTGTAAAATGCCAGTCTGCTCACAGTAGAGCAGCAAAGGACGCAAGGACAATTTCCAGAAGATAAACATGGAATGATGGGTAAAGCAAAGAGAAAACTAGGAAAGAGGTGCCCCAAGGTCTCTGGGTCACTTAGTTGCTTAAATATTCATTGAATGTTCACCAACCGATGAATGGATAAACACAAAGGTGGTGTCTCCATCCAGTGCAACATAGTTTGGCCATAAAAAAGGAATGAAGTACTGACAGATGCCAGAACATGGATAAACTTTGAAAACACAATGCTAAGTGAAAGTGGCCAGTTACAACATATACTGTTTGATTCCATTTATATGAAATGTCCAGAATAGGCAAATCCATAGAGATAGAAAATAGATTAATGGTTGCCTGGGGATAGGGGGAATTGGGAGTGATAGCTAAAGGGTAAAGTGTTTCTTTTGGGGGTGACGAAAATCTAAAATTGTGGTGATGGCTGGACAGCTGTGTGACTATACTAAAAAACTTTGGATTATACACTTAATTGGATGAATTTATGGTCTGTGAAATATACCTCAATAAAACTGTTGAGAAAAAAAATCTCATTGAACTTCAAACTGGGTAATCACAATAGATGGACCCTCTATTATTATGTAAACTTTGAAAATTCAAATGTTCATGTCTATATAATATTCCAACAGGTGCAGGTTAGGTAACCAGCAAAAATTGTGGTCTCTAGAAGTTGGTGAGACTGACTTCCTGACAAAGAGGCCGGGGGCTGGGAGAAGATGAGCAGAAAGAAGGCTTACTTTCAAGATACAACTTTGCTGTAAAATTGCTTTTGCTTGGATTTTTTTGTTTTATTCATTGTATTACAACCACCAGTAAATTATCTCTGTTCTCTGTCCCATAGATGTATCATTTTTTCCCTCATTCTCTCTCGTTGCCATTTTCTTCTGCATTTAAAATTTTTCTAAATTGTGGTAAAATATGTATAACGTAATTTACCAGTTTAACCTGTTAAGCACACAATTCAATGGCAATAAGCACACCAACGTTGTTGTGCAACATCACCACCGTCCAGCTGCCGAACTCTTTCCATCCTGCAAAGCTGAAACAACCTAACCATTAAACAACGCCCCAGGTCTCCCCTGGAGCCCCTGGCGACCAACCTTCTACTTTCTGTCTTTAGGAATTTGACTGTAGGAGGCACCATAAATAAGTGGAACCACACAGTATTGTGTCCTTTTGTGACTGGCTTATTTCACTTAGTTTAATGTCTGCAAGGTTCATTTGGCTTTTTTTTTTTTACCATTAGCATTTTATTACTTTTCCAGTTAAAAAAGACTAGTTAAGTTGTCCAAAAATAATCACAATACATACTTATAAAGTTAAAGAAAAAAGCAGAAATCAAAACTTTGTGTAAAATGTCAACACAACTTTAAAAAGTTCTCACACACGGTGGAACTCAGCAGAAACGACTAGAAGCTTCTAGTGATAGTGATTATTTCTAGGTGGGTGCTGGTTACGTTTTGTTTTCTCTTTTTCTGCTGTTTAAAATTATTCTAGAATAAGCATGTTATATTTATAATCAGGAAAAAAGCAAATGCCATCTAAAAAATTGGTTTGTCAACTTCAGGAAAATGCTTTGTCATAGTGTTCGCAGGATACCTTGAATATAAGAGTTTTTCCTCTATTGCCGTAAATTGAGTGCACAGTTGTCAATCCATATGTCCCAGTTCATAGTTAGGAAAGTAACATTTATCTTGGCCGACACTTGCATTCAATAGGTAAGTGTAAGATCAAAGAACTGGAGGCCCATCAGTGTTGTCTACGTGGGTCACCTGGCTCCCAGCAGGCCTCCTCCTGAGTGATCCTGGCAAGTTTCCTGCCATGGAGTTGCCTCACTGGGGCAAAGGAGGCTGTTCCGGTGGGTGGTATTGGCTCAGGAGAGCTGATTGTGCGTATAGCTCAGTAACTTCACAGTGACAGCTTAAAATTGGCTATAGTAGAAGTATTTACACCATGAAAATTGGCAGACCGTACAAACACACACACCAGCCAGCCAGCCAGCCAGTCTGTGGTGCCACTGGGCTGCTTTCATGTCGTGGGATGAGTCGTCAACCTCTCTGCACCCTGGCTGCCCATTTCTCAGGGAACTGGATGGTCATTTTCCTGACCGCTCTGTAAGCCTCCTGGGGATGGATCTGCCTTTCCAGTCCTGTAGGTCTTTGCCACTAGGAGACACCAAACGTCACCCTGCTGATGGCCAGTGCAGAGGGAAGAAGCCAGCTGAGCTTTGTCAAGGATGGTACGTTCATTTGACGACTCTCCATTTCCCATTTTTTCCATCTCAGACTGTCAGCTTCTTCCTGGATCTTTGCCTGATTTGGGGAACTTTCTTGCTATAACATCTACACCCCAGCTTTTTTTCTTCTGGGCAGAAGGCAGAGTGGAGGAGGGAACAGGTGGTGTTTGGAAAGGCCGAGTAGGCTTTCTTCTCCAGAGAACAAGCTGGGTTGATTTGTCGTCCCTGTTTCCTGAAGCACTAGCCCGTGGGTCCCATGCCCAACCAAGGAGGCACAGATAGGATTTTGTCATTCAGCTCTTAGTACCCCTGGAACTGAAGAGTCCGCAGCTGGACCTGGGAGCCAGATTGCTTCCCCAGCTGTTCCCCGCAGGCCCGCCCTTTCTAAAGCCCCCAGGAGGCCATCTCTAGGTTGAATGGAGAAGAAGGTTGTTGCTAAGAAACCTTTCAGCGTTACCTCTAGGGAGGAAACGCGACAGGAGTAGTGGGGCAGAAATAGTAGGTAGTTTGATGGCTTCAAAGCCCTAGGCTGCAGGGGTGCTGGGCACGGAGGCAGGCCAGAGCCCCATTCTTGTCCTCCCAAGGCGGATCAAGGCAACTCTGCCTCGCACCTGGGTTCAAATTGGGGCTCCCCATTGACTTGCTCTGTAATTTGGCACCTCTGAGGTATTCATCATTTAGGAATGATAATGCCCACCTCTCAGGGTCGTGCTGAGGACTCTATGAAGTAACACATGCAAAGCACTCAGCCCAGAGTAAGTTTTTCCAGTCCTCGGGAGGTGAAAACGAAACAGAACAGAAACTATGCAGCAGCCTGAGCAGAGAGGTGTTTGAACCTCATGTTTAATTTATGATTGTGGGATTTGGGGGTCCTGACAGGCTCTGTCAGGGAGGCTTTTAAATGGTAGACTCCAAAGGGAAGCTCTAAAGACCTTTGCTGAGTCCCTTCCTACAAATCAACTCACCTTATCTTCACGACAGTTCCATGAGGTGGATAGGCACAGACTGTGAAATTAGGACTCTTAAAACCCCCTTCCTTTCAGGGACCCCACATACTGGTGAACCCCCAACATACTGGTCACTGTTCTAGGCGGGGCACTGTCTACTGTCCAGAGCAGCTTCAAAGATCACCAGACGTCAGGGGCGGGAGCATTTCCTAACAGTTCCTGCCTCAGGTCAGCCACAGCCTGTACCCAAAACCAGACAGGGTGGGTGTTTCCTGGGCCGGCTCTTTCAGACCTAGTGGTCTCCAGCCTTCCTTCAAGCCCTTCTCAGAGGAATGCCCGGGTCTGTTGGCCCAGTGACACCCAAAGCACCCAGACCGTGGCAGCTTTTGTGTAAGTGACAAGAGTGGAACCTAGACAGGACTTGGAGTTGGACAGATAGAGGTTCCAGTCCTGGTTTACTACCAAACAGTTCTGTGACTTGGAGCTTAACCTCATCGAATGGTAGATTTCATTTGTAAAATGGAATTGAATAATTCTTGAGGTCCAAGGGTTGTAGGGAGGGCCCAGTAAGATGAAGTTTCTAAAGTGACTTTGGAAAAAGACCTCAGGCATGCAAAATATGGGGTGAGTTTATCAGAATTTTACAACATCCTGAAAGAAGTTGATCCTTCTGGGGTTGGAGCACTAGTCCTAAGTACCATGCATTTGACTCAGCAAATATACCAGGATGGACTGCTCTGTGCCACTCCCATGCTAGGCACCCCCAGGGTCACAGAAAATTCCAGACCCTCAGTTAAAAACTTGCCAATTATTGATTTTACTTACATCTTAATAACTTCAGGTAGGATGTGAAGGGTTTGTCAGAAAAGCTTGAGGAACCATGATGTAAAAACCAATGAACTTTCATTTGTTTATTTAACAAATATATATTGGGTGGTAACGAGGTGCCAGGCACTGGGAATACAGGAAGAGATCTTCGAGGAAGCATTTACTTTCCAGCCCAAGATAAACAATGAAAAATGAAATAAAGGGAGAGAAGAAAACAAGAGCTGGCTGAAAAGTTAAAAATCACTGAGTGAAAGAGGACAAAAAGGAAGAACTTTAACTTTATGGCTCAGTTCATCAGACAAAACACACTTTTTTGTTTTTTTGGTTTCAAGAGGATTTCATCATGGAAGAAGTATTTCAACAAGGGGCCTTTGGACAACAGAACGAATGTTTTCTTAACAGTAACTTTTGTTTTTTTTCCATCACCATTTTATGGTGAACCGTTTTCAAGCATTCAGAAAAGACGGAAAAATGTGAACACTCAATATCCACCTTCTAGAGTCTACAATTAGCATTTCACTGTGGTAAGTGCGATTTGTTTTAAAAGTAAGTGTCTCTCTCAGGGCGTTTCAAGTGTCAGCTTTTCCTGAGGCTGTCATAACCCTGTTTTCCCTAGGACAGAAGGATGGGATGGGGATGTGGCAGGGAAGAGAGGGATTTTAGCCAAGGAATGTAGCTCTGGGAATCAGGCTGGGGCGGGTAGGGGAAGCAGCAGCTCCCGGGACCCGAGTTCCCCTGACCCCAGCGCCCTCGTTCCTGCTGTGCGGTCTCAGCCAGTGCGCAGGACGGGAGTCTCGGGGCTGCTTTTGGCCGGGAGGTCTAAGGATCACCTTTCTCCTACTCTCGATTGTCGTGGTTCTGCAAAGGGTAGAGAAAGGCCAGCGATGGCGGCCTGGCGTCCGCCCTGAGCCCAGGAAAACAAATGAGAATCTCTGGGAAAGCTGAGATGGGACGCCGAGGGGCCCCTGCGTTCTGCCGCCTGGCCGCCGGCCTCCGGCTCGCGCTCCTCCGGGCGCTGCGTCCTGCGGCAGCGGCGGGGCTCTGCGGGCCCAGCCGACCCCCGACTGCAGCCTGCCGCCCCGGCGGAGAGGGCGCGGCGAGGGCCCCACCTCGGTGCTCCCCTCGCGGCCGGGCCGCACCGCCGCCGCGCGCTGCCGCCGTAAAGCCCTCCTCCCGGCCGCGGTGGAGGAAGTTGGGCTCGCGCCAGCGTGGGAGGCGGGAGGGCGCCGGCTCCTGTTGTTTTCCGCGGGCGGACGCGGGGGGCGGGGTGTGCCCTCCCGCCCCGGGCCGGGCGCTCGGGAGCGAGGTTGGAGCCGGGAGCCGAGGCGCGGCTCCCGGCCCCGGACCTCGGGCTCACTCCAAGCATCCTTGCTGGGGGCTGTGGAAAGTGGAGCTCCTCCGTCGTTCCCAAGACCTGGGAGAAACCCTTAGGACCCCGGGGTCCGCGGTCCGCGGGGTGCACACCCAGCGCAGCCCGCGTTCCCTGCGGAGCCCCGCTCGCGTCGGCGACGAGATGGCCGCAGGCGTCCGGGCGCCCGCGCCCGGCGTCCTCTTCTGCCTCGGGGCGCTGCTGGCCGGCTGGGTCGCCGCAGGTAAGGGTCCGCGATCTGGAGGGAAAAGTTGAGTTCTTCCAGGCAGCGGTGGGGAGGGGAGAGTCAGGAGCCCGATTCCCTCCGACTCCGCGGGATCCAGTTCTGGCCGTGGCTCGACGCCGCGCGGGAGGGTCTTCAGCTTCCTGCCCTCGGCTCGGCTCCCTTTACAGAGAGGAATTTTCCCGGGCGCTTGGTGGAGGACAAGATGTGCCCCCAGTCGGAGCGGGCAGCCCCCGCGGCTGCAGAGAGCCTGGGGAAATCGGGGACATTGGAGATGGGAAAATTGAAGAGGTATGGGTAGTAGGGGGAAAAAAATTTTTTTAAGCGTCGGATATAAATTTGCGTTCTGGTTTTACCTACTATCCTGGTGCTCAGACTTCGGGATCCCTTATTTTTCTCTCCTCCCTCCGCCCAAGGTTGAACTCGTCTTACACCTGTAACCTGTGGATTTCCCCGCAAGCTGACCTGCATACTAGTGCATTCAAAGCCATGCCATCCGTCCTCATTTTAAAAGGAAGAAACAAACAAAACAAAACCGTTTGATTTTGAAATGATTTCAGACCTACTAAAACGTCTCCTCACACTTGAAATGACCTTTTCGACTTGACATGGCTAGCAAAAGGTCTTAAATGCTTCATCTATGGCCTGTCATGTAACAATAAAGAATAGTGGATTGTTACAAAGATATATGGAATGTAAAAAGATTGAAAAAATATTTTTGAATTTAATTCACCAGCCACTACATGTCTTTTGTGTCCAGGGCAGTGTGAGAAGCAGTGAAAGGACTCGGGTACAGGGAAAGGAGATGTTGCTGCAAAGTGATGTAGTTTGCCAGAATACCTACTGAGTGCTCTTTTCTGTGTTACCCAGTCCAGTGAAACCAGTTGATCTCCTCCAGTAAGTTCCTGGAGTAATTGTGCCCTGAGCTTCCTAGCAGCAAGTGCCAAAAGTTCCTAACTTTTAGACTTTCAAAAAGTTTTCATTTTGTTCTATTTTCAGCGATCATTTAAAAGCAGTAAAATTTCCCATAATCTCAGCTTCCAGTTTATCAGGAAAAATCTGAAGGTCTAGCAACACAGGGCCTGCTTTCCCACCTGGAACTGAGCAGATGTCACCTTTTTAATCTAAGGCATGTGACTCCAAATTTGTTACCCCTCTGCATGTTGTAATATCCATAGCCCACTTCAGTCATGGACATTCCTGTTGGCCCCTCCAACCATTTGACTTAGTGGTCGCTGAGCTGGGGAGGAGGAGAGGACAGCCTCCAACTGGCCATCTTTGGAAGTTAAAGTTACCTGTTCCCTTCTCCCAGTTCTCTCACTCCCCAGTAGTGTTTATTGCTGAACATCTAGCCTTGGGACATCAGAACCCCGGTTGATGTCATTGTGCTGGAATGAACCAGCTCTTAGGTTGGCTGCCACTCACCATACATGGACACTCCATGCCCAGTTATGTTGATGCCCAGGCCAAGTTCACCTTTGTGTATAATGCCAGGGGCCTCCCTGAGCTTGCTGTATTTTTGTTTTTAAGTTGGGAGTTGTGTTGGGGGGAAGATTTATCTGTGTCCTGTCACTTAATTCCAGACAATGTTCATGCTCCACTCTCACCTCTGCTTATAAACGCTGTTTACTGTGTCTGTCTCACCCTGTCGGGTCGAATACCAGAGAAAATCCCTGTGACCTGGAGTACTGAAGAGCTGTACTCCCAGCTCTCCCAGTGACCTCTGTGGGACCTTAAGTAAATCCCTTAAGTTTTCTGAATCTCAATTTTTTTCAACTGTAAAATGAGGGGGTATAGGATGATCAAACGTGGAATACTGTGTCCTCAAGGACACCTATTCCGTGTCTACGTTAGACATCTCTAATTGACGTTTGTATTCTTCACTGAGCCAGGACTCAGCCTGCCTCATCTTTAACCCAGCCCTCAGGACTGCCACGTCGCAGGACTAGATGATCTCCTAGGTCACCTTCAGCTTCAATGGTTAAAAAGAATGACATGAGCAAAGCCAGAAGGATAAGTGAGATGCCTTAAAATGGTCTCTTTTGTGATAGTGTCATTATAGTCCTTGGAGGGGAAGACAATGCCAGCTCGAGTTCCAAGACTAGACTTTTCACCAGGACTTTTCCAAGGTCCTTTGTTCCTTTGCCAAGGGGCCAGGGAGTGGGCAGGTCTGCAGGTCTCCTGAACACACGAGTGCATCTGGAACTCTACAGTTTACTTCTCTTGGTGGAGCTTGCCACTGAGAACTGGGGTTTAGTCCTTAAAAGTCATTCTCACTTCTTTTTAAAGTGATTGTTCAGAAGTGTTTCTTACTGTTTTGGAATTTCTAGCATTAGATGACATTGTCTGCCTTTCTAGAAGTGGCTTAGTTTTGTTTTATTTTGTTTTCCATCTTGTCCTGGCTTTTGGGAATGGTGTGGCTAAGATGGGAAGAGTCAGAACATCCTGTGGCTCTAGGCTGGCTTCTGACCTTTCAAATGGAGCCCCTTCTAACCAGACAGAAGGCCAAATAATGGTTATTCTTTCTTTTATAAGTGGGAAGAATTTCCAGGGGCAGGTGGCAAGGTTTTTTTATAACAACTTTATTGAGATATAATTTACATACCATTAAATTCACCCTTTTAAAGTGTTTTGTAGAATAGATTTATATATTANTTGAGATATAATTTACATACCATTAAATTCACCCTTTTAAAGTGTTTTGTAGAATAGATTTATATATTAGATTTTATTATATATTATATATATTATGCATGTATTATATAACATATAAGTAAATTATAAGTTTTAATTTTAAAATTTATTGTTTTTAATTTTATTTATATTTATAATATATATTATAATATATAACACACCTAATATATAATAAATATATATATAGATTATAAAATAATGAAATATATTATTTTAATTAAAATATATAATATATAAAATATAATTACTTTAACACTATTATATATTAATGTAATTAAAGTATTCTTTAATATATTTACAAGATTGTGCATTTATCACCACTAATTAATTCCAGAACATTTCCATCATCCCAAAAGGAATGTACCCTGTCCTTGAGTATTTGCAGTCATTTTCCACTATTGCACCCTTGCCAAGAAGTCACTTCTCCCAGGTCTAGACAACTGCTAATCTTCCTATCTCCACAGATTTGCCAGTTTTGGACATTTCATATAAATAGAATCACAGAGGATGTGGCCTTTAATGACTGGCTTCTCTCACTTTGCATCATGTTTTCAAGATTCATCCATGTTGTAGCATGTACTTCATTCCATTTTATGGCCAAATAATATTTCCATTGTATGAACATGCCACTTTGTATCCATTCATCAGTTGATGGGCACCTGTTTGTTTCCACCCTTTGGCTATCATGAATAATGCTGCTGTGAACATGCATGTAACCGTGTTTTCATTTCTCTTGGGTATACACCTAGGAGTGGAATTGCTGAGTCAGATGGTAATTATAACCTTATGAGGAAATGCCAAACTGTTTTCCAGAGTAGCTGCACCATTTAAATATCTTGCCACCAATGTATATGGGTTCTAATTTCTCCGCATCTTTGGTAACACTTGTTATTGTCTTTGATTTTAGCTGTTCTAGTGGCTGTGAAGTGGTAGGTATCTTACTGCGGTTTTGATTTGCATTTCCCTGTGACTGCTGATAAGCATCTTTTCGTGTGCTTATTGGCCTTCTGTTATCTTCTTGAAGAAGGGTCTACTCAAATTCTTTGCCCATTTTAACTTATTATTGTCTTTTTATTCTTGAGTTGTGGGAGTTCTTTATGTATTCTGGATACAGATCCCTTGTCAGGTATGGGATCTGCAAATATCTTCTTCCAGTCTGTGGGTTGTCTGTTCATTTTTTTTTTTGTATCATTAATCTACAATTACATGAGGAACATTATGTTTACTAGTCTCCCCCGATCACCAAGTCCCCCCCACATACCCCATTACAGTCACTGTCCATCAGTGTCATAAGATGCTATAAAATCACTGCTTGTCTTCTCTGTGTTGAACAGCCCTCCCTGTGCCCCCCTGAAATTATGTCTGCTAGTAGTAATGCCCCTCCTTTTTTTTACCCCCCCTTATCCCTCCCTTCCCACCAATCCTCCCCAGTCCCTTTCCCTTTGGTAACCGTTAGTCCATTCTTGGGTTCTGTGATTCTGCTGCTGTTTTGTTCCTTCAGTTTTTCTTTGTTCTTATACTCCACATATGAGTGAAATCATTTGGTACTTGTCTTTCTCCGTCTGGCTTATTTCACTGAGCATAATACCCTCTAGCTCCATCCATGTTGTTGCAAATGGTAGGATTTGTTTTCTTCTTATGCCTGAATAATATTCCATTGTGTATATGTACCACCTCTTCTTTATCCATTCGTCTACCGATGGACACTTAGGTTGCTTCCATTTCTTGGCTATTGTAAATAGTGCTGCGATAAACATTGGGGTGCATATGCCTTTTTCAAACTGAGGTCCTTCATTCTTAGGGTAAATTTCTAGGAGTGGAATTCCTGGGTCAAATGGTATTTCTATTTTGAGTTTTTTGAGGAACCTCCATACTGCTTTCCACAATGGTTGAACTAATTTACATTCCCACCAGCAGTGTAGGAGGTGTCTGTTCATTTTTTGATGGTGTTCTTTGAAGCACAAAAGTTTTAAATTTTGATCAAATCCAATTCATCTATTTTTCCTCTGCTACTTGTGCTTTTGGTGTCATATCTAAGAAACCATTGCTTAGCCCAAAGTCAAAAAGATTTATTCTTTTGTTTTTAGCTAAGCATTTTATAGTTTTACCTTTTCTATTTTGATCTATGGTCCATTTTGAGTTAATTTTTATATATGATGTGAGGAAAGAGGTTCAATTCCTTCTTTTGCATGCACATATCCAATTGTCCCAATATTGTTGAAGGCAGTTTATTTTGTAATGAGCTGTCATCTTTCACAAAACCCCAGCGCATTCACAAACTTTCAAAACTTATGATGTGGTGGAAGAGAGCTGACTGGAGGATAGCAGGAAGTCTGAATTCTAGTTCTGCACTGCTGCCTTCTCTCTGTTGGACTTTGGGCCAGTCTGCTTTCCTTCTTTGCATCATACTTTTCTCCTCTACTGAATGTGACAGCATGAGTTAAAAGACTCCTAACAACTTTTGCCCATTATTCCTGTGCCTGTGACCTCTTTTATATGGGTGTTGATTGTGGAGGGGGCCGGAAAATTGTGGTAACTCAGCAGAATGGGCTGTATTTGCTTCTTGTTACCTGGCAACCGTCTTTGCCAGCTCAGTTGCCCTTAGCACCTGTCAATCTTGAGCATCAGAAGGCTTGTTAAAGCACCTGGAGGGCTTGTTAAAGTGCAGTGCTACCTCCCACTCCCACCCCTAATATTTGATTTAGATGTTCTGCGGTGGGACCTGATAATTTGCATTTCTAACAATGCTGCTGCTCCTGCTGATGTTGACTTTTGATCATTCAGTTCCCACTGCCTGTAAACCCCATCTTCACTTCTACCTGGCTAATTTCTACCTGTCCATCAGATCTCAGTGTGGTTTCCTGGAGGAAGCCTTCCCTGACACTCACCCCAGCTGGACTTAGGAGCCCCTTCTCCGAGGCCCTATCCTGGTATTTATCACACTGCATTGCAATTGCCAGTTTATTGTCTGTTTTGGGGGTCTCTGTTTTGCCAATCATTTTCTCCCCAGTGCTCAGCACAGGGCTTGACCCAAAGTCACCCCTATGAGCGTGTTCTTGCACGGAGCTGCAAGATCGAGCTTTAACTCCAGGACCATTTGGACCTGAGGTAGAGAAAAACAAAGTAGCGGGAAAGCAGGAGCAAAGCCAAACCCTTCTTTCCTTCCACCCCTTCTGGATTTCTAGGCGAATAAAACCACCTGGGTTGTGTATCACTTATTTATTGCCACAATAATGCCGCATAACAATCACAAAATGCCAATAAGTGCTTATTGCTCAAGGGTCTGGGTTAGTCAGCTCTGCTGATCTTGCCTGGGCTCTCTTGTGCCTTCTGGGTGTTGACTGAGTGGCTGAAGGCTGATCCAGAATGGCCCCAGCTGGGACGATTGAAATCTGGGGTCTGCACCATAAAGTTTCACCCTTCCCCGGGGACCTAACCTGGGAATGTCCTTTAAGTGACGGCAGAAGGTGAAAGTGAGCAAGCCCAATTACACAAGTGCTGTTTAAGCCTCTGCTTGCATTGCACTTGGCAACATCCCATTGGCTAAAGCAAGTCACATGGTGGGCCAGTCATAGTGAGCGGGCACTGCAGTGCCGAAGTGAAGGGCACGGATGGTAGGGGGAGGGGCACATTGGGGCTGTTTGCTATTGCGATCTGCCACAAGTTCATTAACATCAACACTGGTCAATATTCAAAACAAGGTGGAGGCTCTGCATCTTAAAAACACACCTGATTTAAAAAAAAAATCTAATGCAGAGAGAGTGTGCAAAAAGGGAGGGTGTTCAGAGATCAAGAAAGGTAGTAATAGCCTGAGGTCTCCTTGTACAGGATTGGAGGCTGTCGTCGTTGGAGAGGTTCACGAGAATGTTACTCTGCGCTGTGGCAACATCTCAGGACCGAGGGGGCTAGTGACCTGGTACCGGAATGACTCGGAGCCTGTCTTCCTCGTGACCTCCAATTCCAGCCTCCCGCCAGCCGAGCCCCGCTTCTCTCTAGTGAATGCCAGCTCCCTGCACATCGGGGCACTGAGCCTGCAGGATGAGGGGAACTACACCTGCCGGGAGGTCCTGAGCAAGACTCGGTGGTTCCCAGTGTGGCTGCAGGTGGCAAGTAAGTGGGGTGGGAGATGACTGGGGTCTGCTGGTCAGGTGCCCGGAGCCTGGGACAAGAGCAGGGCTTTGGAGACAATGGCCTAGGTTTCATCCTGGGCTCTGTCACCTGCAAGCAGAGTGACCTTTTGCACCTGTATTTTCTCATCTGTAAAATGGGGATACAAAGAATTCTTGCCTCATAGAATTGATGGGAAGAATAAATACCAGTTTATTTATATAAAGGTCCGTAAATGGCTCCTGGCTTATTAGTTAGCAATTACTTTTAGCTTGTTGTTAATGTCATTCTGGCTGTTAATATCATTTTATTATGCAACAGTCAGGGTTTAACATAACTGAGTCAGACTGCCTGAGGCTGTGTCATTTTGAGTAAGTAGTTTAATATTTACAAGCTTCAGTTTTCCTTACTTATTAATTGGGAATAATGCATACCTTGTTAGATACAGTGTTCTTGTACCATTGTGCTGAACACGGGGCTTGGTGTGAGCTACTGTTATATACTGCACTTTCCTTTAACAACCCATCTTACCTGTTGATAAACATGCATGAATTTAGACCAGGTGTTGGCAACCTATAGCCTATAGGCCATATCTAGCCTGCTGCCATTTTTGTTTGGCCTGAAAGTACAAATATTTTTCACATTTTTAAGTGGTTGAAAAAAATTCAAAAGAATATTTGTGACATGTGAAAATGACATGAAATTCAAATTTCAGTGACCATAAATAAGGTTTTATCGGGACACAGCCACACTCTTCTATTTACGTGTTATCTCTGACTGTCTTTGGTGCTACAATGGCAAAGGTGAGTGGCTGCAACACTGATCATATGGCCTGCAAAGTGTAAAACATGTACTCTTTAGCCCTTTACAAAGAGAGTTTGACAGACGCTGTTTTAGAGGGACATCTGTGTCCTATATCCAGACTGTGTAGTTTTAGAGAAATACACATGTGATCACTGTTCCCTACTTTGCTCATCCATAAGATAAAGAATTTACCCATTCCTTTATCCATCATATATTTATTGAAAGCCTGATGCCAGGCACTGTTCTAGGCTGTGGACCACAGGCATGAATAGGCAGGTGCCGCTGCTGACATCCTAGTGGGGGAAGGTAGACAGCAAACAAGTAAATAATGCATCAGGCAATGTCAGACTGACAGATGCTGTAGAGAGAATTGAGATGAGGAGATGTGATTCTCCGAAGTGCTTTAAACTGGGGAGTCTGAGAGAACCTTTTGGAGGGAACCTTTTGAGCTGAACCATAGGTAGGAGCCAGTTGTGCAGAGGTGAGAGAGAGCAGTCTGGGCAGAAGCACAGCCAGTGCGAGGTGGGTTGAGCACGGTGCGTGTACAGGTTGGGGGAAGGCGGGTGTTGGGGGAGCCACGTGCGAGGGTGCAGGACGTGTGTGATAGGGCAGGAAGGGCTAGACCCTATGGGGCTGGGTAGGATTGGTGTTCTGGGCTGAATTGTGTCCCCTCAAAAGACAATTTGAAGTCCTAACCCCTGGTATCTGCGAATGCAACCTTACTGAGAACGGGGTCTTTGCAGATGTCACAGCGGTAAGATGAAGACATTAGGGTGGCCCTAATCCAAACTGACTGGTAAGAAGAGGGAAATGCATGCGATTACAGAGACACAGGGAGAACACAGCGTAATGACGGAGGCAGAGATGGGAGGGATTCGCCTGCGAGCTGAGGGACTGTCGCGGACTGATGGCCGGCAGCAGGAGCTGGAGAACAGGCAGGCAAGAACTCTCTCTGAGATCCTTTCGGGGAGCACTACACTCCTGACACTGTGATTCCAGACTTCTGGCCTCTCCAGAGCTCTGAGAGTCAGATTCTATTGTTTAAGCCACCTACTTTGTGACCTTGTTAAGGCAGCCCAAGAAACAGATACACCTGGGAAGGAATTGGGATTTTTATTCTGGGTGCAGGAGAAACTTTGGGAGCTTTAAGCAGAAGCTTTAAGGTGTGTTGGCAATATTGGAATTTTACATGGAGAGTATGTGGTCTCAAGAAGACGATGAAATAAAAATTGGGAAGCCAAATGGAGGTACAGGGTGGCAGCCAGAACCAGGGGGCAGCAGTGGCTTTGGTGAAAATGCAGAGGTTCAGAAAGTGCTCTGGTGGTTGACCAGTAAGACATGCTGGTGGACTGGAAGTAGGGGTTGAAGGAAAAGTAGGCTTCTCAATTTTTGGATGGTCTCTAAGGTTTCCTCCAATTTCAAGTCTTACAGAATCTGAATGCAGGGGTTTTGTGACTGGAGATGCCATAGATGAATTTCTGAGTGGCCAGGAACGAATGTGGGTGTATCAAAAAATGTCACCCAGTTTGGCCCAGCTGTTTGGTCCCCACTGTGAGGGCAAGTGGCAGCATGCCTCCCTCACTCCAGCTGCCAGACAGTAGTTACTAAGTCCCCCGTGTCAGTCTCATCCATAAATAGCTTCTCTGTTGACCTCAGAGGAGTAAGGCAGCATTACAACTTTTTAAAAAATCATTGCTCTCTAGTTTATGGTGACTTTCTATGACACTGGTTTATTAATCGTTGGCTAAGTTTATCGGATAATGGATTAGTTTCGTTATTGCCCTGTAGGGGAGATAAATGCAAGACCTTCTTCCAAAGACTGAACTTACCTTTAAAAAAACATCACTAAACTCGATGGTGCCTTAGGTTTCTGTGGTGTGATTTGTATTATGGAAACTTCTTCATTTGGAAACCCTGACTGGTGTAGGGTTTGTTTGTGAAAACAGGGCACAGACTGTCTTTGTTTGGGCTGCTATAACAGAAGTAACATAGGCAGGGTGGCTTAAATGACAAACATTTCTTTCCCCTAGATCTGGAGCCTGGGAAGCCCCAGGTGAAAGTGCTGACCCAGTGTCTGGGGCGCCCACTCCCCAGTTTGCAATGATGTCCTCTCCTTGTGTCCTCACATGGTGGCGAGCAGTGAGAGGAAGCAAGCTGTCTGGGGTCTCTCTGTATAGTGGTTTCTCCTTATAAGGGTACCAACCCCATTCATGAGGGCTCTAATCTCATGACTTAATCACCTCCCAGAGGCCCCACCTCCAATACCATCCTGCTGGGATTAGGTTTCCACATACATATTTTGAGGGATACGAACCTCCAGGCCATGGTACAGATGTCCTTTGGTTTCACATACACCAGAGCTCTCCTGAATCCCGTGCCTTGTTCCCATTCTAGGAGACACCTCGACAAACACCAGACCTCTCCAGGATTCAGGGAGCCCTTTCTGATCCTCAAACAGTGGCTGAAGGGGAGGCCTTGACATCTTGTATTGGAACTTGCCCTCGTTTTTACATCGAAAATCTGAGAATATGGATCAGGCTTGATCCAACTGCTGTTTCTGGGAGGACAGTGTATTGCTGCGTGGCTGAAAGCATACACTCTGAGGTCCAGCTGGCTGGGTTCAAGTCCAAGGTCCTTGTGACCTTGGGGGTCACCTGAACTCCTGCAACCTTAGTTTTATCATCTGTGAAATCGGGGAAATTGTGGGCACTAGGCCCAGGTGCGCTGCATGCATTCGTGAGATAAACATGTGTAGCCCTCAGCACAGAGCTAGGCATGCAGGATGCACTTGGCCACCTTACCTCCATCACTGGGTAAGCAGGTGATGGGATTCCTATGGTAAAAATACATCTCAAGTTCCCAGCAATCCGCTAGCATCTGAGCCTTTTGAACAAGATTTTCTATGGATCAAGGACCCTGCATACCCAGATCTTGTTTTTCCCATTTTTTCACTCATGTGGTTGATAGCAGTCTCTTAAAAAGAAAAGTTTAAAAACACTCTTAACGTGGCCTTGGAAGTCAGGGGAAAAAACTCCAGGAAGGATGTGATAAGTTGTGATGTGTAAGTGAGCTTGAATGTGGGAATGGGCAGAGACGCTGGAAACACAAAGCCGGTTCCGGGAGGGCTGCTGCCTCTCCCACCTTCCCACTTGCTTATTCTAGGGAGTCAGTTTTTCCATAGGCCTGGGATGGTTTAATGTGTCTGGAATGAGCGCTACAACATGATTTTGTTACTCGTCTCAGGAGGACCCTGTCTTCTTACTTGCTGATTAGATGGTGTGGCTGAAGAGTCTTACCCTAGGGGTTGGTTCCGTGGCTCCCGAGAAGACAGAAGTGCCTTAGTCCAGAGCAGTTCAGAGCTGCCACGCTGCTTATTCTGTTAACCATCTTCTCCTGCCTCCAAATTGGATTTGGCTTGAGGTTAGACCTGCCCTGTGTTTTCCTAAAGAAAGGCTGCAGACTCTAACACATTCCTCTAGACCTTGTGCTTCTTTCAAGAACCTCTCTTACCCTGTGGGGAGCTGAGTGATCACACTAAAGATTGGCCCACAAAAGACCGCAGATTCAGTGCACACAGTGCCAGACTCCCCCATGTCTGTTTCTCTCGGGCCAGGCAAGTTGAGGGAGCGTTTGAGCTAGTTGGCACATGGACATGAGGAAGCTGGTTTATATCAACCTCCAAGAGTCTCTTTGGACTTAGTTGGGGCTTGGGGGTGGGGGCGTGCTCTGTCTAGCCGGTGATGTGGCCGCCACTACAGACTTCCAGGAAAGGGAGTCTCAGGAAAGTCCCATGTTTCCCGACTAATTGGGCGCATCCGATTTGTTAGTGGTGGTGACTCTGTGCCTTACAACATAGGGTCCCAAGGAAAGGGACTGTTGGGCACACGGAAGAAAGATTGCTGGCTCCCGTCAGAAGATGGGTGATCCTTGCCCAGAGGTTGATTACTTTGGGTCTTGCCAGGCTCGTCTGAAGCAGAGATGGGTGCTTACGAGAGGCCTGAGACCTTTGGGTGCCAGCTTTCTGGACAGGACTGGCAGACTCTAGGGAGACCAGGAGGCCACAGGGTCACCACATTTGCCTCTGTGTTCAGTCCCCAACAGTGATGTCAAAAGAGTAAGTTTTCCCAAAAATCTTATCCTACTGTAGAACTGTAGGTATGTCCACTGACTGGCAGAGACTACCGGGTGTATTCTTAGGTCATTTTCAAATAAAAATGCTCCTTTGAAGAGTAAATGCCTGAAGGTAACTCTTCATACTGGCAAGGAACCCAGGACACTGAGATGGGCACCTCCCATTTTGTGGGTCCCTGCGATATAAATTAACCTTGTGAGACCCCTGACTGGCTAGCCTGTAGTTAGGATGGGGAAGGAAAGAAGTGAGTTCCTATGTCAAGATAACAGCAGCGAAGAGGAAGTCAGCAGCAGGAGTAGATTGTTCTAGAACCAGAGTCAAACTTTTTCTGTAAAGGGCCAGGTGGTAAACATTTTGGACTTTATGGTCCAAAGGGTAAAATCAAGGATATTCTGTAACTATTTATATAACCAGACAGAATACAAATTTCCACATTTTTAACTGGCAAAATTCAACATACAATAATCGTAGAGTACTTTCCTTATAGAACAGTGTAGTGACAAGAATGGAATTCTCTTTTGGAGAGGGGCCAACATTGCACATAATTGGGGTTCAAAGTTAGTGTTATTGATTGTAAATGTTCATTTGTAAAAACCATTCTTAGGTTTTTGTGGGTTGTCAATAGATGTTTGTGGGCTGTAAAACTAGGCCATCGTTAGCCAATGCCTGTTCTTGAATCAATCTGCAAGTATACTACTGATAATAATGCTGGGTAACATTTATAGAGCATTGACCACATGTCGGACACCAGGCTGAGTGTTCTGCTTGTGTTTTCTCATTGGTCTTTCAGTCAGCCAGTGGTAGAAGTTACTGCTATTCTTTTTATTGTAAAGAAAGGACAGGAAAGTGAGGATGAGACAAACGGGCACCTGCCCAGGGTTGTCCATCTACACATGGCTGTAGGACTTACAGCCCAGGTCTGTCTGAATTCAGAGTACACGCTCACAACCACTAGGCCAAGGCATCCATCCAGGAAAGCCAGGAACTGAAACTGGCAGTGACCAAGGGCTTGATATGATCCTGAACCTTTGTAACCACTCTCTTTTTTTTTTTTTTTTACTGTTTGTTTTGCTATTTTTTTTGTTTCCTCCCTCATCTGTCTTTCTGAGTGATTGCCATTGTCACCCTGCAAGTAAAAAGGGCTGGTGGCTTCTGTTTAGGAATATCAAAGGGGTGGAGAGAAAGGTGGGAGGGAAGGAAATGGGTGCCTCCTTCTTTGTAGGAAGTTAGGCTAGGGGAAGAGCCCCAGGGAATCAAGAAGAGGGTGCCAACTTTAATTAAGAAAGCAGACTTAACCCAAGGGGATTATAGATGAGCTGTAACCTTTGAACATTTAATTCGAGGCCCTTTGGGTTCTCTTATTTGGTTTTGTTTTAACCCTTCTCATCCATTCCCTGTATGCAACCTCACTTCTTGCTGAGATTTGTGCTGGTCTAAAGCCCCTCCAGCCAGTTTCTAGGGTTGCACACTGTCCATTTCAGCCCACTGTGGCCCCCCAGACCACAATTTGGAAGATGCAGGCTGTCTGATCTAAACACTACCTTGGCTGGCTGGGTCGCTGGCCATCAGTACCGCAGAAAAACTCTGTACTTGATTGGGTGCTTGCCAACTGTGGGCACACCCTGTGACCTGCTGGCCTGCATACCTAACAACTAGCCAGCAACAGTGAATGGGACCTCACATACCACACACAGTATAATATTTTCTGCAGATCCTCTACAGGAGGTAACATGAGTCCAGCAGATCATTCAATTATTAGGAGCCTGCCCCAACTTGACAAGTGTATTGTCAAGAATATTGCTCTCAGAAACCCAAAATGTCTGTAGCTATACAATGGCTTCAGACCTAGGTGAAGTCAGTACTGTGCTTTGAGGGGCTCTGGGAAAGCCTTTTCCTCTCCCAGAAAATTTCTGCTCAGAATTCTGTAGTCACAGATTTATTCTTTTTGGTCAAGTGTCCTGGATTCATATAAAAAAGGAGGGCTCTCGGAGGCAACACACTAAATGACTTTAGTATAAATAGGTGTTAGATGTTTGCTTTTCATTCAGGGAGTTGCAGCATCTTGGGTGCACTGGGTTCCAACAATGGGAGGGCATTTCTGGGGATAACAGGAGGTTCAGAAATGGGAGGGGTACCAAGGTAAGACCTAGCGTTCATCAGGTGCTCCCAGCGTGCCAGGTGCTGTTCTGAGAGCTATGCTATACTGATTTCTCACAACCCCCTCCACTTCCCATTTTACAGATGTGGAAATGGAGACTAAGAGAGAATAAGTAATTTGCTTAAAAATGCATAACTAGTAAGTAGAGTCCAGCGTTGGGACAGGAACCAATGTTTTTTGTCTTTCAGTGTGAAGTTGTGCTGGGGGTCTCCAAGACCCACCCCTGGGTTCAGTGATTCTCGAGGAGAATTCAAGGGCTCAGCACATAGTGTGACCTGTTACAGCAAAAGGATCCAAAGCGAAAATGAGCAAAAGGAAAAGGCCTGTGAGGTTGAGGCCAGGGAAAGCCAGGAGCAAGCCTCCAAGAGTCTTCCCCCAGAGGGATGCAATTCCTCCAGCAACGAGCTGTGGCCACACATGTGAGATGTCCTCCACCAGGGACGCTCATTAGAGACTCAGTAAAACCTGGGTTTTTACTGGGAACCTGTCACATGTCCTCTGCCTCACACCTATCAAAACTCCAGACTCTCAGAAGGAAAGCAGGTGTTCGGCATAAACCACACTGTGTGTGCAAACAGTGTAAGCCCAGTGAGCCCCACTCTTATCAGTTCTGGGAATAGTGGGGACCCTCCTGAGATCTGAGTTCTCAGCTGCCAGCTATGGCCAACCTTGAAAGAAGGTTCTGCTAAGGAAAGCAGCCGGAGGCCAGCCATGTTAACTCTTTAACGCATAGATACTCCTCCTACTTGCCAGTGTTTTTGAAAAGGAGTAGTGTGCATTTTTCCTTTTCTGTAAGAATTGATCGCCCGGCTAAATCTCACAGAATCTCTCAGGATTAAATGAGGGAGTGAGTAAGGGCATAGCATTTGTCACATAGTAAATATTCGATAGTTATCATCCTCATTGGCTGCTTCCTGATCACTTATGGGTCTTTAGAGCTGGTAAGAAGCTCAAATGAACTGTTAAGCCTTCCCTATGCCCTATGTCATTCCCAGGTGGCCCGTACCAGGTTGAGGTCCACATCTCCACCTCTGGCCTGCTGCCAAATGGCACCCTGTACGCAGCCAAAGGCTCCGAGGTGGACTTCAACTGTAGTAGCAGCGCTTGGCCTCCACCCGTGGTGGAGTGGTGGTTCCAGGCCCCCGATTCCAGCATCGAGCCCTTTGGAAACAACCTGACAGTCAGCTGCTTCACTCTGCTACTGATGTCACAAAACCTGCAAGGGAACTACACCTGTTTGGCCAAGAACGTGCTCAGCGGGAGACATCGACAGGTGACCACAGAGCTCCTGGTCTACTGTGCGTAAGCAGCACTCCCCTCCCCCACTTCTTGACCCTTCACAGACTGTGTGTGTGTGTTTCTGCCTTTGTCTGTAAAGGCATGCCCACTGCGCAGGTCTTAACATGCCTCTGTGGCTCCCTTACACACACGTACACACCCAAGAGCTGTGTGTCAGAGAGGAAGCCACCTCTCCTAGAAGCTTGTTAAGTAAGGGTGCAGGAGAGTCCCTGTGAGCCACAGAGGGAAATTAGTCATAGCTTAATGCTTTCTTTTTTTTTTTAATTGGGATGAAAGTACATAACATTAACCATTTAAAAATGTGCAACACAATGGCATTTAGTACATTCACATGTTGTGCAACCATCACCTCTATCTAGTTTCAAAAAATTTTCAGCCCCCCAAGTAGAAATCTGTACCCATAAGCAATCACTTCCATACCATCTTCCCCAGCCCCTGGTTTTCAAGGTTCACTCAGGTTGTAGCACATATATCAGTGCTTCATTCCTTTTTATCGCTGAGCAATATCTTGTCATATGGACAGACCACAGTTTGTTTACCCGTCCATCTGTGGATAGTGGATAACAGATAACATCATTCACTCTGACCATGAACATGGGCCTCTAGCACTGCTGAGAACCAGCAGTTCCTGACCCTGTATTTGGGGGTAAGGACACAACCACCACATGTGCGTCCACACGGCTTTCCTGGACAAGGCCCACCGTAGACCTGCAGGGCATACCCTGGTCAGTGCTGATGGAAGGGAGCGTCCCAACAGCAAGTTCATGGGCAGGATGCTGACATGTCACCTCATTCACGTGCTGCTCAGAGCCTTCCTAAGTCTGTATTTTCTCTGTCCTAAGTGACATTTATTGTAAATAAAGTCATACATGATTGTTGAAGGAAACAAAATGAGGAAAAGAAGAAAAATTCACCTATATTCTGACCATCATTTTGTCATATTGCCAGTACTTTTCCTATAGTTGCCACATATTTGCTCATCCCGTATGTAAGATCTAAATTTATTTCTATTTATGTGTATTACATAAAATGTTAAAAATTAACACACATTCATAGTATATATAATATACATAGTATACCTATATAGTATGAATTTTTATATTTAGTTTTTATCACATGTATTACACTGAATTTACAGGTTTATAACCTGTTAAAATTTTTATGTGTGTTTTAGTAATATATGTACAGAGTAAGGAGAAAGTATATGCCGGTGTTGGGGATGAATATGTCCCCCTCCTGCCTGTAACTCCTTCTAGGGACAGGCGCTATCCTGGAGAACTTGCTGTGGCGGTGCAAACATTCTGATACAATTGCCGCTTACCTTGTGTGGTTACTGAGCACTTGAAATATGGGTAGTGTGATGGTGGAACTAAATGTGTGATTTAATTTTATTTAATTAACTTAAATTTAAATAATCGCATGTGGCTAGTGAGAAATGCAAAGATGAATGAAGACGCCCATCCTTGGAAATTTAACACCCAGAAGAGGACACCTGACTATTGTCTGGCACTAATTTGTGTGAGGAGCCATTTCAAGGCACACTGCCTGGGGCTGACGGTTCTCTGGTACCCTGGCTCTGTAATGCTTGGAGCTGGTGGATGGCTGATGTTAGAGTCTGGGAGTAAGCCCAGGTCCTCTGGTGTTTTGCAGCTCCCCCTCCATCAGCCCCTCGGTGCTGGGCAGAGATGTCACCAGGACTGCTGATGCTACAGCTCACCTGCCGCTGGGATGGGGGGTACCCAGACCCAGACTTCCTGTGGATGGAAGAGCCAGGAGGTGTGGTCGTGGGGATGTCAAAGCTAGGGGTGGAGATGCTGAACCAGTCCCAGCTGTTGGATGGCAAGAAGTTCAGATGTGTTGGGAGCCACATAGTGGGGCCGGAGTCAGGAGCCAGCTGCGTGGTACAGATCGGTGAGTCTGACTTGCCCTATCCTGGGGTTGGGGTCCACCTACCTTCCTTTCTTTTAGGAGAAACATTTGAAAGAAGGTCTGGGAAAGAAATCCCAGGGTGTCAGAGTGAACTGAATTCCTTCCGTTTCTTCCTCTCTTTTGCTTTATGTTTCCTTCCTTTCAAACTAAAGATACTTAACCAAGCTTCTTGGTCCCAATCTGAGCTGTTTTTCATTTGACAAATACTAATCAAGCACCTGCCGTGTACCAGGTGCAGTTTCTAGGTACTTAAGATGGAGCAGTAAACAAGATGGACAAGGTCCATTTATTAATCTCCTGTCATGTAACAAATTACCCCCAAACGTAATGGCTTAAAACAACAAATCACTTATTATTTCATGATTTCTGTGGGCCAGAAATTCAGACAGTGGGGATGGTGTGCCTCAGCTCACAGTGTCTGGGCTCTCTGCTCCAAGACTTGCTTGGGGAGGCTGAAATCATCTGAAAACCCGCTTCAGAGGTGCTCACTCATACGCCTGGCCAGCTGCCTCCTCTCCGTGCAGGGTCCCCACAGGACTCCCGAGTGTGCTCCCAACGGGGCCCCAGGAGAAGTGATGCAAGAGGCCGTGAGCCAGGCAGATGTGTCCTTTTTATGACCCGAGCTTCAGCAGTCATACCGCATCCCTTATGCCACATTACCTTCATTAGAAGTGAGTCACTCAGTCTGGCCTCACTTTCAGGGGGAGTGGGCAGAATTTGTGTCAGAGAATTTCTGGATGTATTTTTAAAACCACGGCTCTTCCTCTTTCACAGAGCTTAAATTCTTCTGGATGGGAGGGATGAAAGACAAGAAGTCCATAATAAAAGGGGATACTAAAATGGAATTGTGTAAAAGAGAGTCTCTTAGGGGAAGAGGCCACTGTTCCTAGGGTGGCAGGGGGCCTCTTTGTGACAGTAACATTTTGAGCTGAGACCTAAGGAGGAGAAGGAGCTGGCCAGGAGATCTGTGGGCTGAGCATTCATGGCAGAGGGAACAGCAGACGTGAAGGCCCTGAGGTGGAAACCTTTCTGGCATTTGGGATCAAGAGGCAGCCAGGGTAGCCAGAGCATTGTGTGTGAGGTACCCGTGAGGCTAGGCAGGGGTCGTGGGTTGCTTCGTGTACCCCCAGAAAGATATGTTCAAGTTGTACCCCTGGGTACCTCAATGTGACCATATTTGGGATAAGGGTCTTCGCAGATGTGATTAAGATGAGATCATACTGGCTTAGGGTGGGCTCTATTCCAATGACTGGTGTCCTTAAAAGAAGAGAGAAATGTGGACAGAGACACAGGGAGAATGCCATGTGATGACAAAGGTAGAAACTGTAGTGATGCATCTACAAGCCAAGGAATGCCCGTGATTGTTGGCGACCACCAGAAGCCAAGGGAGGCATGGGATGGCTTCTCTCTGGGAGCCTCCAGAGGTCTCAGGCCAGCTGACACCTTGATTTCCGACTTTTGGCTTTCTGAACTGTGAGTAAGTGTCTGTTGTTTAAAGCCACCCACTTTGTCACCGTTTTTTTTTTTTGTGTGTGTATATTTACAATGTTATACTACCATCACCACCATCTAATTTCAGAGCATTTCCATCAACCTACAAAGAAAGCCTGTATCTACCAGCAGTCACTCCCTTTAGAAACACTGAGAGTACTTATTTCCTAGTATTTTCACTGATACTGTTATCATTAATTTTTTAGATTTTTCTTATGTGTTCATTAAGATATGGTATAATTGTCATATTTTGGGTTTCTTTGATCCTAGCAGGGTTAATAATTTTCATATGTCTGTTGGCCCTGTGTGTGTCATCTGTGAATTATCTGTTCATATCCTGTCCATTTTTCTATTGAGTTGTTCATCTTACTATTCCAGAAGAGTACTTTGTCAGTTAATTTTAATTGTCAGTTAATTTCATAGAACTGCCAGGCATGTTAGCGATATTTTTCTGGCATATTTTGCTGCAAAGCTACATTTGTGGCATTTCTGCTGGTGATGAACAGTTTCTAATTTTGAAGGGGTCACCTCTGTCACTCTTGTTCTTTTAGGTTTCTTTGCTCAGAAGGTTTTCTCCTGTTGTCTTATTATTAACATGTTACTTGTAATCCTCGTAATAACCTACAAATTAGACAGGAGGATTTGTGAGTTGCAGATGCTGACATTGTGTGAACTCACTTGCCGGGATCACCCAGCTTCTAAGTGACAGAGGCCAGCACTCAGCCCAGGCTGGTCTGGCTCCAGAGGACCCACTTCCGCACCTAACCCAGCGAGTCTTTTTGTGTAGAAGTTAGGTACTCAGCACGGTGCCAGGTACTGTGGTGGAATAAAGAGTCCTTGTCTATAAAGGACTTGAAGTTTACCTGGAGATGGAAGCCTGCCTGACAAAGGTGAATCAGGGAAACAGCAGTATCACAGTAATAGTGACTTGAACATTTATTGTCAACAGTGCTGTTTTCCATGCAGTATCTTACTTAGTCCTCACAAATCACCCTATGAACTGGGTGCCCATGTTATCCCCATGTGTCCCTGGGGGCTGCTGTAACAAAGGACAAACTTGGTGGCTTAAAACAACAGACATTTGTTCTCACAGTCCTAAAGCCTAGACGTTTGAAATCAAGGTGTGGGCAGGGTCATGCTTGTGTCAAAGGCTCCAGGGAGAACCCTTGCTCGCCTCTCCAGCTTCTGCTGGTGCCAAATGTCCCTTGGCTCGTGGCTGCACCCAATTCCAATCTCTGCCTCTGCCTTCTTGGGGCCTTCTTCTCAGTGTGTGTCTCTATGTGTCCCCTTCTCTCCTTCTAAGACACCAGTCATTGGATTTAGGGCCCACCTTAAGCCCAGGATGATGTCATCTTGGGATCTTTACTGATTACATCTGCACAGACCACATTTCCCAATAAGTCCACCTGGGGCTCCAGGTGGACCTGAATTCTGGGAAGGCGCTGGTCCACCCACTGCAATCCATTCTATGGATGATGAAACACGGACTCATGCAGGAAAGCAGGGCACACATCCAGAGTGGTGTGTAATGAAGACTCCCAAAGTGTGTTTTGGACAGTAAGTCCCAAGAAGTGGTAAACAGTCACTGAGAGGGGGAAAATGGAGAGGTAGCTGACAAGTTTTGTGTTATTTTTCTCCCAATGTTTTGTTTGTTTTTCAGATCTTGCCTAAGTTATCATTCCTGTGGCCCCTGAGACGTGGCCAATCATTTGAATATAAATATGTACTTAGGATTAAGAAATGTGTCTGGAGAAGGGAGCTGACCCGAAGTTTTTCCAATCCCAGGCATATGAGAAGCAGGCACAGGAGCTGTAACCTTCCTGACTCTGACATTGTCCATTTCTCCTTTATCCCATGGGAAGAGCCCAGCACTTCTCAATGTACATGCAAGGCACCTGGGGTCTGGTTAAAGGCAGGGTTTGACTCTTACGATTGGGGTGGGCTTGAGACTGCATTTCTAACCTGCTTCTAGGAAGTGCTGATGTTGCTGGTCCAAGGACCACACTGTGAGTAGCAACGCCCTTGGGAGGGAGTGGGGCACCTCTGCATCATCTCATTTGGGAGGACTGGTAAGTCTTGGAAGGTAGTGTGAATATCCACCTTAGGAATGGAAAAGAGCAAAATGATGAGAAGTGATATTTTTTGGGATTCCTGCTGCCCAGATCTCTATTTCTCTCTCTTTTTTATTAAGGTATCATTGATACACAGTCTTATGAAGGTTTCACATGAGCAACACTGTGGTTATTACATTCACCCATATTATCAAGTACCCCCCCGCACCCCATTGCAGTCACTATCAGTGTAGTAAGATGCTGCAGAATCACTACCTGTCTTCTCTGTGCTACACTGCCTTTCCTGTGACCCCCTATATTATGTGTGCCAATCATAATGCTCCTTAATCCCCTCCTCCCTCCCTCCCCACCCACCCTCCCCATCAGTTGATTCCATCAGTTTAGGGACTTACTAGCCATTTAAAGAGAGATCTGGGGATATGGAATACTATTCAGCCATAAGAAGAAAATAAATCCTACCATTTGCAACAACATGGATGGAGCTAGAAGGTATTATGCTCAGTGAAATAAGCCAGGTGGAGAAAGACAAGTATCAAATGATTTCACTCATTTATGGAGTATAACAATGAAGCAAAACTGAAGAAACAAAACAACAGCAGACTCCCAGAAGGGACTAGTGGTTACCAAAGTGAGGGGGATGGGGAGGGTAGGTGGGGAGGGAGGGAGGAGGGGATTAAGGAGCATTATGATTGGCACACA